TAATGTATGGTGATTAACATAACCATAAAAAATTTAAAAAAAAGAAGTCAAAAGAAGAGTGGTATGTTTTAATCCAGGAAAATTCTATGAACCTCAAATTTCAGCATCCATAAAGTTTTAGTGGAACACATCCACACTCATTCATTTATGTACTGTCTACACTTTGGAACTACCATCAGCAGAGGTGAGTAGTTGCTATAAGACCATATGGCCTCCAAAGATTAAAATATTTACTGATTGTTTACAGAACAAGTCTGCCACCCTTGTTGTTTCCTGTTTTTTTTTGGGGGGGGGAGTAGGTTAATTGAGGTATAGCCTCTATGGTCATTTTTAAAAATTCAATCTCCATTTATCTTAGTCACTTGGCCAAAGAACACATGCAAGGGAAAGAAGTGTTCAGTGATTATGTGGCAATACACGATCTGTGTATGCACTAGGGGCCACCAAATTTAAATAGAGATTGAGGGGCACCTGGGTGGCTCAGTCAGTTGGGCATCTGTCTTCGGCTCGGGTCGTGATCCCGGGGTCCTGGGATCGAGCCCCACATCTGCATTGGGCTTCCCACTGGGTGGGGAGCCTGCTTCTCCCTCTCCCTCTGCTGCTCCCCCTGCTTGTGCTCTCTCTCTGTCAAATAAATGCATAAAATCTTTAAAAAAATTTTAAATAGAGATTGAAATACTCACTTTGAGATCTGAATTATACAAATTACTTAGACTCACTGATTAAATAAATACTTTCAGTGTCCAGGATCATTATTAATTCTGCAAACCCCTGATTTGACATTAATGTTTCAATATTTCTAGACTGACGAAAGCCCAAAACATTGCCTGGTAGTTTCACCTCACTTAATAGAGGGGTTTAGAAAATCTTATTCTAAATACTGCATTGATGTATTCTGTATCAGAAATTAATGCATTGATATATCAGAACATATTTTGTATCAGAAAATGTGGATTAGCATACCAAAAAATTTAGGATGCATACAGAATTTTTAAATAAATAATTTAAATTATCTTGGGCTGAATTTGTTTTTTTTTTAGGTCATCTCGACACCCCACGTGGGGCTCGAACTCACAACCCCGAGATCAAGAGTCACATGCTCTACAGACTGAGCCCACCAGGTGCCCCTATGTATTCTGTCTTTAAATGATAATGGTGTAAAACACAATATCCTCATATTTCGCAGCAGTTATCTTGACATGGGGGAGATAAATACTATTTTTCTTCCTTCCTGTATTTTCCAATTTGTCTATATTTTGCATGTTATAATTACCAAAGGAGTTTTTAAATAGGGCATTATTTGGCCAATTTAAAATTCCCTTAATCCTCATGAACTTGCTTCGCATTTACTTTCCCCCTAGCCTAGCCAAAGAGCTATTTGATGTGGAAGGAAGTAAACCTGAGGTTTGGCAGTCTGAAAATGAAAAACAAAAGCAAGGCGCAAGAGCCAAGAATAAAATTGGAGGCAGTGTCAAATTTCCACCCAAGAAAGTCTGCTCACTGTTCTTGGGGGGGGGGAACACAAAGGCCTTTGAAAAAGTGGGGGGTAGAGGAAAGGTCCCATGGTCGAAGTAATTAAATAAAACACTACTTAATTGCCCTGTGGAGCACCGTCTCGGGGCTAAAGAGAGGGAATTATTTCAGCAACCTGCAAAGAAACATTACATACCTATGTATTTTCCAAAGTCCCTAAGGTAATATCAGACAGGAAATAGTTTCGGGTCATAATTTTACTTTTCAGAGCAAAACCTGATTATTGGATGCATTTTTAAAAATTCTAGAAATAGGCGAAGTCGATTTTTTCATTCGTCTTTCCCACCCGACCAACGTTGACCAAGAAGGCAAATTATGAACCTTCTGAGATTTAATGTGTTCTAGAACTCCTTTTGCAAGGAGATCGAGAATCTAAGAAAGGCAAGTGTGAGAAATGCTTGCAAAGCCAACTGATGACTGGCAGATATTTTTTATCAAGACAAATAGTTAATTCATTGTGAAGGAAAATGTGTAATCACTTATCAGCTGTTGGAACTGTTTAATAATAGCACCGTGTGACATTAATTGCTATTCCAAATACCGTGTGGCGTGGATGCAGAAAAGGTCAGCCGTCAGACAGAGCCCGGGGGCAAACTGCTAACAGGTCGCCAACCTGATGCCCTTCCTTCTGGGCACGCAGCTCATTTCCTTGACCCCTTTGTGCTTAGAGGTGACCGCGGGACTGACTTCCAGCCAGGAGAATGTGCGTAGAAGAGATGTATGGCTCTTTCAGGTCTGACCCTTACAGGCCTCACGCCTGCCAGGCTCCATTTTTCTTCTGCTGACTGACTGCGAACTCCAAGGCCGAAGAGGCATAAGAGGCGACAAGATGCAAAGAACCGTTGCTGTTCAGAGGAGAGCCACCTGACCAAGGACACCCACACTGGACGGTGACGGGACCAGGAATCTGGTCCTGTTCACACCCCCGTCTTGAGGCAGGTGTTCACTGTGTGTGAATGGCCAAATGCACTCTGCCTCTGAGCACAGGACTGAAATCACTTGACCAGTGACTCTGAGGGGAGGGTAACTTTTTTCTTTTTTAAAGATTTTATTTATTTGAGAGAGAGAGAGAGGTAGTGAGAGAGAGAGAGAGAGCGCGCGCAAGCAGGGGGGACAGGGAGAAGCCGACTCCCCGCTGAGCAGGGAGCCCGATGCCGGGCTCGATCCCAGGACCCTGGGATCATGACCTGAGCCGAAGGCAGACGCTTCACCGACTGAGCCACCCAGGCGCCCCAGGAAGGGTAATGTTGACGAAGGGAGTCTTTCAAATTCATACCAGGCTTCTCCCAACATTCAAACTACCACTGATGGAAAAATTGTTTTCTTCCTTATGTTTAACTCAAGACAGAGGTAGTGACATCTGCACTGCTCATTCCTCACTGGGGAAGAAATGTGGTGACACTCTCGTTGTTTGGGAATAGCTCAAAATTTTTAGTTCAGACTTAATCGGGTCATTTGCAGATAAAGTCAGAAAGATCATGCACATGGCCCTAACGGAATCCTCCAACGATCTTTTCCCAAAACATTATTCCTTTACAGTCCTAGGTCAAGAACAAATCTCTTAGGTCATTTCACAGAATGTCTTCTCATTAGGCAAGATGGATCTTCCTGAAGATCAGGGAAACTGACCTCAGAAATGTAACTCCTCTTAAGGTTTCCACTCGTCTGGCCGTTCTTCTGTGGGGAGGAGGGGGGGGCGATTAGCATCTTCGATGAACTAATTCCACAGAGACAACCAGCACTGAGTCTGACCAATGAGGTTAGACCTGGTCAAATTATTTTTTTCCTTGAATAAAAATCATTAATACTAATTAATCCAAACTGTTCAGTGCTCTCAGTTCTGATCACTTGAATCTTGCCCACCAAAAAAAAAAAAAAAAAAATTAATGAAAAGTCCAATCAGACAATAATGGGATGCCTCAGACCAAAATGACATTAAATGTTTTTTTATTGAACAAAAAGAGATAAAACATGGAAGTTGAAATCACTGAGCAAAAGCAGCTTCCCAGGTGAGGCTGCTATACTTTGTGCTAAATAACCTTATGAATTGAGAGTATACAGAACACATATAATATGCAAGTTACCTCAACAGCAAAGGAGAAGGTGTAGATTACAGCTTCGGAAGGAAAAATTTGGTCAAGTGACAAATTTAGTTGCTCAAAATTTCTAGCCCTTATCCACCTAAATTCAGTAGGATTCTCCATGCGTGCATTCAGTATGTGCATACTGAATTCCCATTTTAACGGAGGCTGTTTTTGGTAGAAATTTAAAAAGATCTTTCATGTTTATTTGACGTGCCATTCAATTTTTACAATTTTATATTTACTCTATGTATGTGTGTGTGTATTTATACACACTTCAGAAACCCCAAACCCTTGTTTCTAAGTAGAGGGGTCATGCTGTTTCTTTTTTTTTATTAATATTGGTGAGTTTCAGTTATTATTTCTCCTGTGTGTCTAAGAAACTTTGTATGTTTTCAATGCGCCCACACAGACCGGTGGGTTGACAGATATGTCAAAAATACTTTATGAAAAGAGGAAGGTAGCTCATGCGAGTTGGCAACCTTTTGTCTCATGCCCTGTTGGAGCCATCTGCCTCCCTTTGACATCTCACAGTCAAAGATGAAAGGAAAACTTTTGACTTTGAGGCCTAGTTAGCACAGTTGTACATTTACTATAACCCACCATCAAGTTGGCTTATTGGGCTTTCTAATGTAAGATGACAAATACCTTACACCCAATACACAGCATCAAAAAAGTACTGAAGGAAACATTTTATAGACAATATCTTGGGTTGTTTTTTTTTTGTTGGTTTTTTTTTTTTTCGTTTTGTTTTTTGTATGTTAAACATCAGCTTCAATGGGATACATTTCCAGAATGGTTTTGTTACCACTTTATAAACACTCTAAGCCAAACAAACAGCACAGAAACATCAATGTTGTCTTTTTTTCCAATATCTGTATCAATGACTGGAGGCTAACCCTAACATACACTACTAAAGGGGGTGCAAAAGAAGAGAATTCTTGACACGTTGCAAAGATAGGACTACAGCATCTTAGTTGTAGGGGGATGATCCTAAGGTGCAGAAAGGGGGGACTCTCTAGAAGGTGATGGTGTGGTTTCTTCGGGCGGGAAAACCGTGAGGGTACAAGCTCGGATGCCACCGAGGGACTCTGGGAGATCAAACACCTTATGCCACTCATCTTTATCGGGGTCATATTTCTGCACTATCTCCACCATACAGCGATTATTCCAGGAATACCCACCGACCACGTAGATCTTATTTTCAAAGACCGCAACCCCAACATCACTCTGCCCCCTTAGCATGGCAGCAATTGGGGTCCACTGGTCAAGGATAGGTGAGTAGTATTCACAGCTTAGGACATCATCATAATCACTTGTGCCTCGGAAGTGATTGCCACCGATGACATAGAGCCTCTCGCCCACCGTACACATGCAGTGCAGGCCTCTGACGGTGGTCATCGGCGCCTTCTGGATCCACTTGTCAGTATCAGGGTCAAAGCACATGAGCTCCTTTTGGAAAGTGTCATGAGTGATTCCTCCTAAAGCGTGAACATAGGCATGATGGTAAACAGATTATTACAATGATGCAAAAGTAAATAAAAGGCTCTCTGTCCCTAGATCATCGGCGTCTAGCCACCTATTATGCCATCTTATGGCTTATCGCTGGTGTCCTTATAAATGTCTGCCCTCCAGAAGTACTTTCTCTGGGATTAAAAATCCAGAAAGTAACATTTTCAGCTCTTAGAGAACAAAAAAATGTAGCTTATGTTATCGCAAGGACTTTCTGAAGCAGAGACCCGTGGAATTTAAGAGGCTTTGCTAAATGAAAATAGATTTGGGCCACTTTTAGAGTTGGGTCTGCTGTCAATCTCGTGTATGAAGCATCATGCACTTCTTTTTCTAAAAAGAAAAAAGAATTTATTTATTTATTTATTTATTTATTTATTTATTTATTTGTCAGAGGGAAAGAGAGAGCACAAGCAGGGGGAGCGGCAGGCTGAGGCAGAGGGAGAAGCGGGCTCCCCCCCGAGCAAGGAGCCCGACGCAGGACTCGATCCCAGGACCCTAGGATCATGACGTGAGCCAAAGGCAGACGGTTAACCGACTGAGCCACCCAGGCGCCCCGGCATCATTCACTCCTACTGCTTTGGGGCAAGCATGCCCTGGCAGCTGAGCGCTGGGCTCGGGCATTTTAATTCCAGTTGCCCATTTCTGCACTTAACCACATAAGAATCTCTACTCTGGTTATCTCATCAGCATTGCGGCTATGAAGTCAAATCCATCAAAATGCTTTGAAAAGTTGACAGGATTATGCAAATGTCCAAGCCTATAAGAATATTCAGCACTGTTTGTTTTTGTAGTTTCTGTTGCGTGGGTACGGGAAAGTACTGTCATGTGCTATCAGCACGGACACTTAAAGAAGCCGAATGCTGGGGCGCTAGGGTGGCTCAGTCGTTAGGTATCTGTCTTTGGCTCGGGTTGTGGTCCTGGGGTCCTGGGGTCCTGGGATCGAGCCCCGCATCGGGCTCCCTGCTCGGCGGGAAGCCTGCTTCTCCCTCTGCCTCTCCCCCTGCTTGTGTTCCCTCTCTCGCTGTGTCTCTCTCTGTGTCAAATAAATGAAATCTTTAAAAAAAAAAAGCTGAATGCTGAATACATATGGAATTTTGTATGTGCCTCAGTTGGCTGTTGATCCACTGAGTCTGTATCATCCACAGAGTGTATTCTGAGGTCACACAGAAATCAGTCTCTAAGAGGAAAGTATCAGACTCTGTTCTGCAGATTAGCAAGAGAACTGCACAAATTTTCAGCCGTATCAATAAAAGTGCTCCTATCTGGGGACCAGTTGGCAATCAGTGTTTCCTCTCTGCTCTTTAGTTTAGTTTTTTGGGTTTTTTGTTTTGTTTTGTTTTTTCTGTACTCTACAGAATTCTCAGGAAGCAAAACGGTGTTTTTTTTTGTTTGTTTGAGATTCAGCTCCGGTCCTACCCTGTTCTTGACCGGGGAGGTCATTTATAAAATACACATTAGCTATGCCAAAATGCCACGAGAACAATTTCATGTCATTCCCCACCCCCCACCCCCCCGAGGATCTGGAGCTCTCATTATAATGGCATAGCATCTACACGCATAAAATAGGTAGAGGGTGTAAATCATTGATTAGTGGAGCATATGATTTCCTGGATGGCTCTTTCAATATAAGACGTCCTGTAGCTGCTCATAAATTTAACACCCCAAACCTGTCAATCAGCCACTCCAGGCCTTTCGCTGATCCCTCCTGATTACAGATTTCATAAGGCAGCGGTGTTCAGAGACCCAGACCACCAACATCACCTTGATGCATCTGTTCTCTAATAATGTAACTGCTGCCCTGGCACCGGCAGGCTCTCAGAAGGGGGAAAATGTGTCACGAGAAAAATATATGCGCATGTGGCCAACATATATATAGGTAATCAGCACAGAATTATTCATGCAAGGACACAACAGTAGAATCCCCTGATAATGCTGAGGAAAAAAGGAAACACCTATTATCGGTTGCACTAAATGAGAGTATGAACATTATTATGCATTATGTGTGTATCAGGAGCAAGCTTATGCATGGTAGCGTTTATATATTAAATAATGATATATTTCCTCATAGAGTTGAGCTAAATATAAGCTCAAAATGAATTAAGGGTCGCTACAGGGACTATGAATGGGGGTCATTGGCCTACAGGGTTCATTAGAGTATGGAGTATGAAGACCAAAAGGCAAGCTGGAGAAGCTGAAGGCTTTCCAGTTTCTTCCCAGTTATGTATTCCCAGCATGACTGGTTTGCTGCTAGTCTTATGAACTTCTAGAATACCAAAGGCATCTATACGCAAACACGCACGTACAATGTATCTTCTAAAATCACCACAAATTATATTTTGATGATCCCTTTTTCTGGATTCTTTTTCTTTTTTCTTTCTGGATTATTTTTCTAATATTGTATGGAAAGATGGTGCCATAGTTAAAAGTGTACGCATTATATTAATTGCATCTGCATTATAATGGTTTACCTGAAATATACATGACTCCTCCGTACACAGTCCCAGCATGGCCATAGTGGGGTTCACTCATTTTGGCAACGTAGGTCCACTCATTTGTTCTTGGATTGTAACACTCCACTGTGGCTGTTGTTTGACGAAAAGAACAGAAAAGAAAAGAAAATAATTTATAATTTCAAATTTAGCAATGAGTTATTTTTCCCTTTAGGTAGAATAATAATATTCAAACAACGGAACCGTATCTATTACAAATATGAGATACTCTTTGGGGGTCTCTTTTTTTACTTACTGAGATGAACTATTAATACATTTTACATTAGACTAGAGACTTATGTAATAATCTAACACATTTCTGTCACTGCAGAAATTGCTAGGGTTTCTTTTCTTCTGGTATCTTGTTACATCTTTCTAGTTTGACATTCCTCCCAATTCCTTGCTCTAAATATGTGGGAAGATGAGGGAGCTTGGGTGGCTCAGTCAGTTAAGCGTCTGCCTTCAGCTCAGGTCATGGTCCCGGGGCCCTGAGATCGAGCCCCGCATCGGGCTCCCTGCTCAGTGGGGAGTTTGCTTCTCCTTCTGCCCCTCCCCCCAACTCGGGCTCTCTCTCTCTCTCACAAAAATAAACAAAATCTTTACAAAAGATAAATATGTGAGAAGATGAAACAATCATAAGGAAGAAGAAAAGTCAGTTCTAGGCCCCCCGTGCTGATCCACCATCTAGGAAGCAAAGGTTCATAGACAGGAAGCAAAATCTGAGGTTGAGAGTGAACGTATGTATGTATGCACACCGCCTGCCATATGTGCTTGCTGCCTCTTGCTTTATTTCACAACCAGACTACACAATAGACATTGGCAATAATTTTTCCACATTTACACATTAAAGTCAGTAGTGTGTACAAATCCCAATATCATCGTAGCCAGTCACACTCCTACTAGAAGGTGAGTGGCAGCATGATATGAAGGGAAGATTTTTATTGGGGCCACTTCCTTCCAGTAATAAATTTATCATCTTTAACATGAAGCATTTTGGAGAGGTGACCTCAACCTATTTAAATATCACTCTGTTATCACCTCAAGAATAGAACAATGACAGAAAACGTAATCCTTTTTAAAAGGCAGAAAGAAATAGGGCTGTTCCCAGTACTCTGGTCAAAACCACAAAGTCTAAGGGCACCTGGCGGGCTCAGTCAGAAGAGCACGCGAGTCTTGATCTTGGGGTTGTGAGTTCGAGCCCTGCATGGGGTGTAGAAATTACTTAAATAAATAAAACTTTAAAAAAGAAACAAACAAACAAAAACCCCAAAGTCTAGGTAGACTTGAAAAGTTTATACTATTTACTACAGATGCTGTCAGTTGGCAACCCGATTTCTTGTCTCCCCTCACCCTGCTTTTTTCTCAGGAACAGAACCATAACACTGCACACGGAAGTGCTGTGCTAAACTCAACATTCATATTAGCGGGTTCCCTTGAACCTGGAGTTGACCATAAGATGTAATTCTAGGCAATGAAATGGAAGCAGAAATCTACTGAGTGGGGCCATTTGATCAAGCCACTGGAATACCTAACTGATGAATCATCCCTTGAACAAAATTTCCTATTAAAAAAAATAATAACGTGAGAACAGGCAGAACCAGAGAGAAAAAATGAGAGATGCACTTTCTACTCGATTCAACAATTTCATTTCTTCATCAAACTGACTGTGCGCAGTACTTCTTTCTCACCTAACGACTCCTATATTATACCACTTCTCATCTCCCTTTACTGATTGCCTTTTGCACTGGCTTGAGCTTTACATTTTCAGGCTCATCTCAAAGGCTTTTCCTGTTCTCATTTTGATCTACTGTCTTGTTAGTTTTGTTCATTGCTTTAGGCCTGGACCCTCACCAACACTGTTTCTTCTTCTTTTTTTTCCCCCTCCCAACTCTATTTCTTCTAAATCCTTCCATTAAGTAGCCAGATCCTGCAAAATCTTTCCCCCAAATAAGAAGAGCTATTGCCACAATTCATGACAAGCTAAAACTGATTACTCCAATACTGGTTTTGGCTCTTTGTAGTCACTGGACATCTTCTCCAATGTTTATTTCCATTTGCCTCTAGCATGACTTTCACTTCATTGACAAGCACAATCCTACTGAACATACATTATTCTCTCTCTCTCTCTCTCTCTCTCTCTCTCTCTCTCTCCACTTACAGGGGATCTAGTATATTGATTGGTACTTGGCATCAGCAAAGTAATTAATGGTAGGGTTTTAGCTGATAAAAAAAAAAGTAGTCTAATCACACACCCTGTCAGTGAAAGGGTTTTAAAAGACTTTCAGAGATCACATTTCTGATGGCAAAGACAGGTTTTACTATAGTTCTATGCCTCCCTTAACGAAAAATTCTGCCTTAAACTTTGAAATTTCTAGAGTGTCACAGTCTCTCCTTATGTCTAATTCAATCTATTTTGAGGGAGTTTCCATTAGTTTCCTCCTGTTCTTTTTGGAGTGGAGCTAGCGCCTGAATAGCGATTCACTCTTTATGATTATTACAATTTTCCCATGTAGAAAGATAATGCTGTTCTTCCGTCAGTGAATTAATTGCATTTTTTCCCCTAAGAGGCGTCATAAGAATCCATCTCTATTTTCTCATACAGGAGTAACCTAAGTGTAAGATGGCTATTAACCATCAATAATATAATAACTATGTAATAGTTCATCATCCCTCAACTTTTCTTCTTTGGGCAAAATAATCCATATCCTTTAGCTTTTCCTATCATTTAATATCTACTGTCAACTTCTAGACTGTCTCCATGAAGAATTGTTGTTCTTAGTAAAATCAAGAGTAGTTTTAAAATAGAACACATCTGATTAAAAGTGTATACACACATGTCCTTATTTCCCATATTCACAAGGCAGTGAGATATAGGCTCGTGCCAACAACCTTGATGGGGGGAGGGGGCAAGGGATGATGCGAGGGACAAAAACAGTGCTTCCATCATAGCCTTTGAGAGGTAGGAATGGTAATGAACTAATTAGGAAAGTCTAGAATAGGGTCAGGCAAATTATAGCCTGTCAGCCAAATCCAGCATGCTGCCTGCCTTTTGTATGCCCCACAAGATAAAAATATGAATGGCTTTTACCTTTTTTAAAGAGTTGGGGGGAAAAAAATCAAAGGAAAAATGTTTTGTGACATATGAAAATCATATGGAATTCAAATGCTGATGTTCCTATAGAAAGCTTCATTGGAACACAGCCTCACCCATTCGTTTATAAATTGTCTACGCTTGCTTTTGCAATACAACAGCAGAAGTGATGAGGTGTGACAAGATCCTATGGCCTACAAAGCTGAAAATATTGATTTTCTGGCCCTTTACAGAATTTCACTGACCCTTATTCTAGAGAATCACCTTCAGTAACCTGGTTGCCTGCAATTAAATTAGAGACCCCCTCCAATTTAAGAATTACATGGGGGTTGCTTAGTTCACATAAATCATTAAAGATTCCTATTTTCTCAGGTGATTCTACTGGAGTCCGGAACTGGTCCTAAGGGATGATGTGGAACTTACTTGTTCTTTTTGAGAATAGAAAGGGATGAACCCTGAATCACCACCGGGAACAATGATGGTTCCCACAGAGGGGCTGTGACCTCTAGAATCTTAAGAGTGCCCGCTGGCGATGTGTTGCTTAATGAAGAAAACGGCAAATCCATGAAGGGATATGGAGGCACCTGATAAATTTCAGTAATTTTATTGCACACTTATTTGAAAAAAGTCTAACACCTTTTTCTATAAGTTATTTCATTCTTCGAAAGCTTGACTTATTACTATTTAACAGAAATGAAAGCTATCTGAGCTGTCATAGTTCTCTTCAATATAGAAAACCTCAATGGAAGATCGATTTCTTAAATGACGTAAGTTTGAAAGATGCCAGGAATAACTGACTTCTCTTTCACTTAAGTGACAGCTACTCTAAGCTTCACGCAGTTTCCAATTGTACCCGGTGTCAAAGGAAAGCAGCATTTCTAAGGAATTATACTTCAGCAATATACCAGGCTCACACACACATTAGCAGTATCTTTTTGATGTACTATGGGCATAGGTCCATCCATACACACTCCACGAAGGGATTTTAAAAGGCCAAATGCATTAAAATGATCTAAAGTGTCTTTTACAAATGCTCCCACTGTCTTCTTTTCATAATTACATCTAGGAAATGGTCATTGCACATATGAAGAATAAATAATATACTGGTACTAATGAACCAAATTAATTTTTTTTTTTAAGAAAAGATTTTACTTTTAAGTGGTCTCTATACCCAACGTAGGGCTCGAACTTATAACCCAGAGATCAAGAGTCACATCCTCCACCGACTGAGCCAGCCAGGGGCCTCAAACCTATTAAATTGTTAAATGACCCTCCCATCGATCCCCGTTTGCCTGCCACCCATTGCTACCCCCTTCTCTATTTACACAGGCCTATTAATATGGCAGTGTAATCAGTTAAGATGGTAATGTGAAGTTACTATAACAGATGTTCTTCTGTGTGTGTAGAGGGCGTTCCCATTAAAAAAAAAAAAAAAGTTTACGGAGCAGGAGAAATGTTAAAAAACCCAGCCTCTGGCTGGAACATTCAGAAATATAAGCAAGGGTCTCTTTAGGACCTAAATCTGCTATTCTGCCAAAACCACGGGCCCAAGAAAACGGGAAAGGGCAAGTGACACATATGCAAAGAGAAACATTATTAATAAAGAGAATTCAGAAGAAGTCAACAATACAGAATGTGACACGATTGCTTTAAAACAGTCTACTTCTTGCTCCCAAGTGGGTCTAAAGTAGGAAAAACTCAAAGGAGGTGGGGTGGCCTAAAAGTTCTCGTGCAATTAAGATCCAAGATTTCAGTGCACTTAAGCCAATCAACTGATTTTCTAAAAAAAAAAAAAAAAAAAAAAAAAACTTCCAATTTTTTTAACTTAAAATATTTACTACAGCCAGGCTTTGCTGGGTATGCTGATTTTAAGGCAAATGGTCATTTTCCACAAAAGTGTACTTACTTACATTATACAGGAGGTACTTTCAAAGGGAAAGAAATGTCATTGGCCTTTAAAATGGAATTAGAGTTGTTTCTTGGTATTGAGGGTTTGTGTCTATAATACAACCATCTATGTATTTGTGAAACATGCAGTTTACAAATTTAGATAAAAATAGGCATCTGCCATCTAGAGGGGTAATCATTTTTTAGACTATATAAGTCATTATCCTTAGGTTTAAGCTCTGGGAGACTGATTTTAAAACCTAAATATAATCAAATAGTTATTATGAATTAGGAATAGCTCATGAAAAGCACACTTCTCGTCTCTTTTTACTTTCAAACTGAAATGCAGAAGGGGCACCTGGGTGGCTCAGTAGTTAAGCATCTGCCTTCGGCTCAGGGCGTGATCCCAGGGTCCTGGGATGGAGCCCCGCATCGGGCTCCCTGCTCCGTGGGAGGCCTGCTTCTCCCTCTCCCACTCCCCCTGCTTGTGTTCCCTCTCTCGCTGTCTCTCTCTTTGTCAAATAAATAAATAAAATCTTTAAAACAAAAACCTGAAATGCAGAAGACTATTTTTAATAAGAGATGGAGGGTGTGCTTTCTGAAGGTCATGAGCAAGGAAGGCAGCCACTTGCCCAACGGGGTTGTCTACTTCTTGTTCCCAAATGAGTATAACATGGCAAGAGCTCAGCAAAAGAAAGCCTCTAGCTTCTTGGTTTTATGTAATGACTCTCCTTGGCCTGAAGATGATAAATTCTCAGAAGAATAAGGCCTCTAATTAATAGGAGGAATGATATATTGAAGACTGCATATTAATAGGGGTGATACCATCAATAAGCAAGCACTGACTAAGAAATTGGAGCTATTTCCCTTGAGGAAAGAAGGTCTGAAATGACCGCTCACTGCCAGGACTGATGACCTATAATTTGTAAACTTGGAAAGATTATCTTATACAAGCGGTTTTCCTAAGAAAGCGCCAAATCACTAATTGCAGCCTCTGGATATTTCCAGACACCCTCCATTTAAAATAGTATCACAACATGAAAATAATGTGTGTGGGCTGAGTGAGGAGACCTGAAATGACAATTCGACACTACGGGTACTGATCCTTCAAATGCGTTTTAAAGCCTGATTATTAAAATATATTGGGCAATCTGTGTGGTTCATGATAAGGATCCCGAGTCCCACCATTTGGAGAGCCCGGTCTTAGAAAAAAATATCACTGCGACAACAAAGGAAAAAAAAAATAACTGTAGGTAGGAAAGATCAGTAACATTAAGACGTCACTAACGAGAAAGGGCTTGATCAGCTGGAGAGTATAAGAGTTGAGAGCAGTTCTTTTGGCCTCCAATAAATAACCTATTCTTAAATCCATTAAGCTACCAAGAAAAAGATGCTGATAGTCACTCTGAATTTATCCAGAGCCAAGGCCAATATTTTCCATGTTCCCAGCATTACAGAGCCTGGACTACTGGTCAACTACAAGGACTCCAGTCATCACAGCATAAAAGAGGCGGTGAAAAAAAGAGGCCAAATGATGACGCTAATGACAGATACAGAAGGCGTGACAGAAAATGGGGTCTTCCTGACTTCTTTTTGGACAGCTATCTTACTCCAATTTCACCTAAAATCACAAAATTACTGTTCATTTATGGAGCCAAAGTACTGTTCTACATTAACTGCACTTGTGACCAATCTTCAGTTAGGGAGACAAAAAAAGTGGCCCCATCTAATGAAGCTTACCAGAGCAGTTTACAGTGAAGAAAACTGTTTGGTATTTCACTAAGAGAGAATGATTTTATTTATTTATTTATTTATTTATTTATTTATTTATTTGAGAGAGAGCAAGAACATGTGAGTGGGGGGGAGGGGGGAAGAACAGAGGGAGACTCCTGTGCCCGACGCATGGAGCCCGATGCAGGACTCGATCTCATGACCTGAGCCGAAATCAAGAGTCAGACGCTTAACTGACTGAGCCGCCTGGGTGCCCCAAGAGAGAATGATTTTTATAAAACTGATAGTCACAGATCACATTACTGAGAGTAAATACATTTTGGATAATATTGAACTTTGTACATCTAATTGACAAAGAAAATGATCTTACTATGGTGGTTGAGGGTCTAGGATAGGGTAAAAGATTATGTAAACGAAGAAACGATAACAATCAGTCCCCTGTAAGGAAGGATTTTAACCTGTACAATAAAGTATTATGTGGGCTTTTAAAAATGGAAAATAAGGAAACATGCCAAACTTCTGTCTGAGATTCTATTAGAATTTAAATTAGCAGAATATACTTTGTAGTTCCACTGTCAAGATGAAAACCATATATACTGCCAAATAAAATATTCTGCAACATACTGATATATTCCTAAGATATAATTTGTACCCTGGCCAACAATATAAATCCGGATTAGGCATATAGATTGTGTTGGATATTTCCTGAGCCAAACAGTTTAAATGAAACCCTAGCTACATTTTTCTCTTTAATTTTATAGAACTGCTTATTTTATGACTTAACGAGAATTTGGGGGTAAAGAAATTAGTCTCTATGCTTAACAGAAATGCACACACTTACGCAGTTCACCAGCTGCATTTCGCCCACCGACAGCATACAGATATCCTTTGAGGGCACTTAGGTGGAAGAAGGTGCGCTTTTCATTTAAAGACGCAACCTGCATCCATTTATTGTAGCGAGGATCAAATCTGAAGACTGTATCGACTGCCGTTTTTCCTTTTGTGTCATAATTACTCTGTCCACCGACGACATAGAGGAAATTTCCAATGACAGCGATGCCATGCTGGTACCTTGGGGCATCCATGGGGGCTAACGATTTCCATTCATGGGCCTTTTCATCATACATGCGCAATTCCTTGCTGACAACCAGCTGCTGCCTCAGCACTCCTCCAAGCGTGACCAAATGAGTGGTGTCAGACCGAATGGCAGTCCTGTCTGACTGCATCACTGGCTGCATGTACGGCATCATTTGGTAATTGCTGGCTTCCAAAAGGAGATTCACACAGGTATTGTCAGTTCTCATGAAATCCACGGTTTGCACATAATTAATGAGCTCCTGCGGTGTCATCAGTGGAAATCGTATGTTCTTCATTAATTTTGCAGCAAAGTCCATCCGAGGCTCTTCTAGGCGTAGCCAGCGACAGGTAGCCTTAAAGAGCTCAAGTTCAGTGCAGTGCTTAAGGCTATTACTGGAAAGCACAAAGGCGAGACGCTCGAAAGGGAGTTTCAAGAACTCCCCAGTGCTCAGCAATGCAGGAAAATTCTTCAGGACAAAACTGTTGACGTATTTATCCACTTCCGTCAGATTGTAGGTGTTGGCAATCCGACCAACTTCGACACAATTGTCTAAAGTGACCTATTAAACCAGTAAAAAAAAAAAAAATTAAAATGCTGCCAATTTCATGACACTCACATTCTGGATAACAGAAATACCTGTTCTAGAAGAGGAGTCAACTAAGTTTTTTACTGTCCATAGAGATGCAAATAAAAATGCTTACCTAAGACATTAATGACCTAAAGAGAATTCACAAACCACCTCTACCTAATCCGATGGAAAGGTGACTAAAAGAAAATTATCTATATCACATCAACAAGAGAAAGGATAAAAACCCTATGATTATTTCAATAGATGAAGAAAAAAAGCATCTGAGAAAGTACAATATCCATTCATAATAAAAACCCTCAACAAAGTACGTTTAGAGGGACCATACCTCAAACATAATAAAAGCTATATATGAAAAACCCACAGCTAACATCACACTCAATGGGGAAAAACCGAGAGTTTCTCCCCTGAGATCAAGAACGAGAGACAAGGATGTCTCCTCTCACCACTTTTATTCAACACAGTACTGGAAGTCCTAGCCACAGCAATCAGACAAGAAAAAGAAATAAAACGTATCCAAATTGGCAGGGAAGAAGTCAAACTGTCAATATTTGCAGATGACGTGATATTATATATAGAAAACCCTAAAGACTCCACCAAAAAACTACTAGAACTGATAAATGAATTCAGTAAGGTCACAGGATACAAAATCAATATACTGAAACCCACTGTATTTCTATATACTAACAATGAAGTAGCAAAATGATAAAATTAAGAAAACAATCCCATTTACAATTACACCAAAAATAACAAAATACTGAGGAGGTAAAAGACCTGTACTCTGAAAACTATAAAACATTCATGACAAAAAATTGAAGAGGACACAAATGTAAAGATTATCCGTGTTCATGGATTGCAAGAATAAATATTGTTAAAAAGTCCATACCACCCAAAGCACCAAAGCAATCTACACATTTAATGCAATCCCTATCAAAATACCAACAGCATTTTTCACAGAAGTAGAAAAAACAATCCTAAAATTTGTATGGAACCAAAAAAGACCCTGAAGAGCCAAAGCAATCTTGAAGAAGAAAAACAAAGCTGGAGGTATCACAATTCCAGACTTCAAGTTATATTACAAAGCTGTCGTCATCAACACAGTATGGTACTGGCACAAAAACAGACACATAGATCAATAGAACAGAATAGAAAACCCAGAAATAAACCCATGATTATATAGTCTATTAATCTTTGAAAAAGGAGCAAGAACATGCAATGGGAAAATGACAGTCTCCTCAACAAATGGTGTTGGGAAAACTGGACAGCTACATGAAAAAGAATGAAACTGGACCACTTTCATACACCATACACAAAAGTAAACTCAAAATGGATTAAAGGCCTAAAAGTGAGACCTGAAACCATACAAATCCTAGAAGAGAGCACAGGCAGTAATTTCTTTGACATCAGCTGTAGCAACATTTTTCCAGATATATCTCCTGAGGCAAGGGAAAACACAAGCAAAAATACACTATTGGGACTATGTCAAAATAAAAACTTCTGTACAGCAAAGGAAATAGTCAACAAAACAAAAAGACAACCTACTGAATGGGAAGAGATATTTGCAAATAACATATCCAAAAAAGGGTTAGTATCCAAAATATATAAAGAATTTATACAACTCACACCAAGAAAACACGAATAATCTGATTAAAATATGGGCAGAAGACAGGAACAGACATTTCTCCAAATAAGGCATTCAGATGGCCAACAGACACGTGAAAATATGCTCAACATCACTCATCATCAGGGAAATGCAAATCAAAGCCACAATGAGATATCACCTCACACCTGTCAGAATGGCTAAAATCAAAAGCACAAGAAACAGCAAGTGTTGGCGAGGACATGGAGCAAAAGGAACACTCGTGCACTGTTGGTGGGAATGCAAACTGGTGCAGCCAATGTGGAGAACAGTATGGAGGTTCCTCAGAAAAGTAAAAATAGAACTATCATATGATCCAGTAATTGCACTACTGGGTATTGACCCAAGGAATACGAAAACACTAACTTGAAAGGATATGTGCGCCCCTATGATTATTGCAGCATTATTCACAATAGCCAAATTATGGAAGCAGCCCAATGTCCATCCATAGATGAATGGATAAAGAAGATGTGGTGGGTACACACACACACACACACACACACACACACACACACACACACACACAGAGGAATATTATTCAGCCATAAAAAAGAATGAAATCTTGCCATTTTGCAACAACATGGATGGATCTAAAGAGTATAATGGTAAGCAAAATAAGTCAGAGAAAGACGAATACCATATGTTTTCACTCATATGTGGAATTTAAGAAACAGAACAAACGAATGAAGAAAAAAGAGACAAAACAAAAAAACGGATTCTTAACTATAGAGAACAAACAGATGGTTACCAGAGGGGAGGTGGTTGGGAGGGGGGTGAAACAGGTGAGGGGGATTGAGAGTATGCTTATCTTGATGAGTAATGTACAGAATTGCTGAATCGCTATATCGTACACCTGAAACTTATGTAACACTGTATGTCAACTATATTGGAATTAAAATTAAAAAAAGAAGTGGCTAATAAATATTTATTGGATATTGAAAAATAAAAAAAGCATCAAAATCAGTAGATTAGAAGTTACCCTAAGAAACAATGTTCTAAGTTGATTATGGCCAAAATAATTGCTTTTCTCTTCTTGAAAATGTGTGCTCCCTCTCAAAAAAAATACTAAATGAAATTCTGGCTAGATGGAAATTTTGGAAAACTAGAGGGTTATTCTATTTTGGTTCACCTTAATCCACTTCTTAGTCAGGATTCTTAAAAGTTACATTGCTAGCAGATCCACAAACAGAAAATCTCTAATACAGGATCTCTAGATTTCCCTTTCATGCAAATAGTCACGGTTCATTACTGTAATTCATTTTGATTCCTTCAAAAGTTATTGTTTCTAATGAAGGTAATTTAATAAGGCATTATTCCTAGGGTGAAGTTATTTTCACATTATTTATGTGGAAACAAGGAAAGGAATCACTTCGGTGAGGATTGGAACAGGTGTATCTCCATCAAATTTACTCATGGCATAGTTAATTTCTGGTGTCTATGATGATGGCTTGCCACAGTTTCCCTTGGCAATTCTCTTACTCCCAGCATAATCTAGCTCTGCCTGGAGTCAAAATGACCCTAGAAAAGTCTCCCCTGCACAGATGACAATGTAGCAAAAACGGAAAATAGGAAAAAGAGACAAGTGATGGAGAGGCCCATCTTCAGCAAGAGCTCTTTCTGATGCTTTCACAACTGGTCAAAAGTGAAAACAGGAAAATCATATCAGCAAATATTATTCAAGGAATAAATCACTGAAACAAGCCTACCATACAAATACCTGTGTATGTATACAAACACCCAAGCAGGTCACAGGCAAAATACTCAAATGTTTCTCTTAATTTTGTCAGTGTATGTGTTCATGTATGTCATGTAAACTTCACGGACGAAACTGCATTGTTAACAGATTGGCAGATGATTAAGAGAAAATTGGCTAATCCTTGTATTATCCTTTTATTTAAAAGCTGAAATGAGACTAAAATAATTACTCCTCTGCATAAAACACCAGCCCAGTTAAGACATATCATCACTGAAAGCTCAAAGGTTAAGACACACACACAAGGCTATTTTCATAGATTGATTACTCAGGAAGAATTTGAACAATTTTAAGCAGCTGGTTTGCTTTATGGGAATCGCCAAAAAATTTTAATTGCTTATTATCCTTAATAGCTATATATTAAAAAATAGCTAAAACACAATTGCAACACAGAAGAAGTAGGAAAAATAAAGTAAGAAATTAGGGGCCTTTTGAAATACACAGTTTCACACCATTGGATTTCCAATGTGGTTAATAAAAGGTACATTTCAATCCAGTTTTAGGCGTAGCAGGTTGGCGTCTCATAAAAGTTTTCATTGTGTAAAATGAAGTTACAGTGAATTCCCAGTTGCCCAGATCACCTCGGGTGGCAGGAATTAGTATCTGGGGTAATGAGTCCACTTTCTGGAGCAGGAAAGAAGTAGCCTTTCCCCAGAGCAAGGGTGATTTGCACTTTTGAACACATTGACTAGTATGGATAAGCAAAAGTTGATGAGAACACAAAATTAATTATTCCCAAGTTTGTAGATTCTCACCATTACGGACACAATTACTAATAAAAACAACAAAAAAATAGGTACTTCAAATAGGCAAAATGATACCATCAGTTGTTGGTCACCAAATATAAGTCTAAATTTATAGCATATAAAACAAACAGAGATAAAAAATTAAAAACCAAACTGTGTAATTTAGAAATGGGATCAAGGTACTTACTTCCTTTCCCCTTTTCCCCCTTCAACTTTATCCAGTAAGAAGACAACTACTAAAGTAACAGCATAAAAAAAAAGAACCTTCCTTTGATTTAAGGGCATTTGGAAAATATCCTCTATATATCAGTATGCTCAGAGACAGATACACAAAACTGCAAAAGACTGTGACAGACCACCTAGTATATACAGATAGCTGCCTACTCTTTTCTTAAAAATCACCAGAGAAAGGTATTTCATAACCTCCCAAACTGTCATTTTCTTGATGGAAGGACTAGCATTTTCTATGCCCTATGTACTAGAGGTATCACACTGTGGGTATATTACAAAGGTTAAACACCAATTATCAGCAATATAAAAATTAAGGATGTGATGATAGATACAACTAAAAATAGAATACATTTTCAATTCATATAAAACATTACTAAACCCTTAATTTTAAAATGAAACTCAGATAAAAACTATGTAATAGAAAATTAGTTGTTTTTGAAGTGCGTGTCCTCAAAACTAAAACAATTAATCATAGATTATAGGGATTATAGAAGCAAAGTCTAGAATAACAGTTAACAATACAAGCAGATCAAAATGATGGAATAATGGTAAACGATTTTGGAAAAACGCACAATTATTCAATTATGGCTCATTTTCATCCACC